GTGATACGATTCAGTGCACATCAGTGCGTATTAATACAGTTCTGGTGCATATCAATACAGTTCCGATGTGCATCAATACGTATCAATGTGCATCAATGCGTATCAATGTGTATTAATAGATTCGCCAAAAAATCCCTTCTTACAAGTTCGAAGCCAGAAAAAATCATGTGTGCGTGACATTTTGTCACACCGATCATTTTTGCCAAGAAAAATTTTTTATTAATACACTAGTAGCATGAATGACTAATCCTACATCTACGAAATGTCTATGAAATTATTAAAATACAAGTTTATTAATAAGATTACAGAGATTACAGTATGTACGGTACATGAATTGCGAAGCAATAAATTCTTACGCATTATATTTATCTAGCAAGTTAGAAAATTTAAGCTGTTCCTCGTCAAAAAGTTTTCTCTTCTTTTTTATGTCTGCCCGACCTGCCATCCCGAAGTCAATCAGGTATACGTCACCGTTATCGTTAATTAGGATGTTTTCCTCACGAATGTCATTGTGGAGAATGCCATGCTTGTGGATTGCTTCTAACCCCTTTAGAGCCTTTGTTCTTTGCCGTTTCGTTATTTTATGTTCACTCAATGAAGTGCCAGCAATGGTCATGCCGATAACGAAGCTCATCCCTCCTCCGTAATATCCATAACAGACCAACTTTGGGATATACTTGCCTTGAATATCAGCGAGGTCTTTGTAAATCTCGACTTCTTTTTGCATTTCTTCCAGGACATACGGTGGGGCCTTCGATAAGTCTACACTCTTCAAAGCAATAGTCTCACCACGAAATGTACAAAGGAGCGTTTTTCCACTTCGTCCTTCACCTAATATGCTCTTAAACTTAAAGTCCGCAAAGCTAAGATTCTGCTGATTAGGTGATTGTTGGTACACCGATGTGTTGGAAGTTGGTTGCTGATTTACCGATTGGCTGGAAGAGATATCAGGTAAATTTGACTGTGATCGAAGAACACGTGAATTACTATCCCCGTGAGCTGGTACTGGAACTCGGAGAGGATTAAGGGATTGAGGGTCCTCCTTTGCTTGCCGGGCTAGATAAGCATATGCCTTGAGTACAGGTGGAGATTCGGATTGCAGTGGAAGGGTTTTTGAGATCCAGAGCTCCGTATGTTCTCGGCGTAGAAACCAGTGATTGTCATAGGTGGCGAGAATACTGTATCTAAGTTCGTTTACCCCCATGTAATTGTAGATTTGTTGGATCACCATTCTTGCCTTTTCATCCGCCTGATAAAACTCGGGAAAAGTCTGTTCTTTGATGTCTTTTAAAACATGTTTCCTCTTAACTTCGAGCACCAAGATCAATGATTCCACGAGATAGTGACAGGTGAAATCCGGTATGCCAAGAGTATGAGTTGGACGTTTTGAAAAATCATATTCTAGCCCTGTAAGCCTATTTAACACCAAGCAAATATTGATGTCAATAGCAACACGAACATCCTCCTCATTTAATACCACTTTATCTGGAATAAATTGTGGCCTCTCGAATCTCGGTTGTTGATCGAAGCGAAAGCGGTTCACTTCTTCGAAAAAGTCTTTCCAAAGCAGTACACTTGTCGGTGGGTCACCATTTATCTTCGTAGTAGTCTTCGATGTAGTACATTTCGGAGAATATGTTACGGGTGGTGGAATACACGACAACGCTTCTTCCAAGCTGAGAACTGGAAACGAATACGTGTTAATATTACTAGGGCAAATGACGGAAAATTTCATATTGTACCAGACACTTACGTGGCAATTTTACGATGACATTGATATGTTCCTCAGAAGGAGTGACAGTAAAGTATTTCGAAATCCTTCTTGTTGCAAGGAGCTCGTCTTGGTCCTGGAGTGTGAGATTGCTTAAGAGATCGTCGCGATCGTCAGGGATCGTCACCTTCCATAGCTTGAGCTTGTCTGCGTCTACACCGGCAAACTCATTTTGTTTTTCCGCCTTGATAGCTTTCTTTAGTTCACTAATAGGTTCGTCCCTACTTATTTTAACAGAGAAAGCGTTCGCGAGTGTATTTCCTTTGACGAGGCAGAGTAAAGTGATAGACATAACGGCTTATATAGTATTTTTTGCGAAATTTTATTGGTGCAAACTAGCGTATGTGAGGACAAGAATTTTATTTGCGAAAAAATACTGAGGAAAAATTATAGTTTCACAGACCTGCCGTGTGATCAGCCACAT